TATTCCTCTGGCTATTCGGGGTCTCTTCTGGTTCCATACAAATTTTAGGATTATTTGTTCCATTTCTTTGAAAAAAGTGGATGGTATTTTGATGGGGATTGCATTGAATGTGTAGATTGCTCTAGGTAGCATTGACATCTTCACAATGTTAGTTCTTCCAATCCATGAGCATGGAACGTTTTTCCATTTCTTTGTGTCTTCTTCAATTTCTTTCATGAGTATTTTATAGTTTTCTGAGTACAGATCCTTTGCCTCTTTGGTTAAATTTATTCCTAGGTATCTTATGGTTTTGGGTGCAATTGTGAATGGGATGGACTCCTTGATTTGTCTCTCTTCTGTCTTGTTGTTGGTGTATAGGAATGCCACTGATTTCTGTGCATTGATTTTATAGCCTGCTACTTGACTGAATTCCTGTATGAGTTCTAGCAGTTTTGGGGTGGAGTCTTTTGGGTTTTCCACATAAAGTATCATATCATCCATACAGGCTTCTTTCTTAAGCCTTTCTCTTATCGCCCTGGGAAGTGCTCATAACTCACGGGAATGGCTCTGTGTTCAGTGACGAGCAGCTGGCTCTTCTGAGGACGGCCCAGGTTGTTAAACCCTTCTGAGCAACACAACTCATGAATCAAAAATTTATTTATTTGTTTGTTTTTACACCTCCTCACAGGTACTGGAGTTCTGCCTTCTCTCCAGACATGTACTTCTGTATATCCATGTGGTATATTAGAAATATGTATTTGGTCATTTTCCAGTTTCCTGGTATAGAGCTCCTAAAACCTCTAGAATTTCTTAAGTGATAAAAAGTGTTTTTTTGTGTGCTAATGAGATGACTCAGGCAGGTGGGGGGTGGGGGGAGGAACCTAGATAGCTCCCAGATGGGAGCCTGGTCACCAGAGGCCAACAAGCATGTGATTAGAGGGTTAGAATTATCAGCCTACCCTCTGACCTCCAGGAAAAGGGAAAAGGGGCTGGAGATAGAGCTGAGTCACCAATGATGGCTCATTTGATCAGTCATGCCTGTGTCATGAAGCTTCAGTAAGAACTCTGAAACAATGAGGCTGAGGAGGCTGGGGTATATTCATAGAAGCTATGGACACTCTGTACCATCTCCCCACCCCCATTCTTTGTTGCATGCATAGCTTCCCTTTGGCTGTTCCTGAATTGCATCCTTTATGATAAAACTGTAATAGCAGGCATAGTGCTTTCCTGAGTTCTGGAAAACATTAAATGATGGAAAATAAGTGGGGGGAGGGGCATGGAAACCCCTGACTCTGTAGCCAGTTAGTCAGAAGTGTGGGTTATGGGTGGTCCCTGGGTCTTGTGATTGTCTTCTGAAGTGAGTCTTGTGGGGCTGAGGCCTTAAACTCCATGGGGTCTGCATTAACTCCAGGTACTTAGTGTCAGAATTGAAGTGGAGACTACCCAATTTGTGTCCACGAATTGGAGGATTGACATGTATCGGAATGTTGTATTAGGTGTCAGGAAAAAAAAAAAATCCAACTGTGTTCCTTCCCAGTGTTTGCCTTGTGCTTTTTGTTACATTGGAGTCCCTTAAACTTTTATTTGTCCTTTCTGTAGGTATTTCCCAAATATGTGTATGTATAATAAATTGGATTAGTGGACTAACAGTATTTTAAGCATGTGGTTTTGTTCCACGGTGTATTAACACATGAAGTTTCATTTAAAAAATAAGGTAGCATGTCTGTCTGTCATCCAGCCATCCGTCCAGAATGCTTACATCTAGTCCCCTGAGTTTGGCCATATGTGGATTACTTACAATAGCATGAGGCAAGATTATACAAAAAGACAGTCATTGTGTGAAAGCCACATCTATGTACTTAAACACTGTTATAGATAGGTAGCAGTTGTAAAAATAAAACCTACTCTGTAGAGCAAAACAGTTAAAACTCTGAAAAACAAACTGAGGGTTCTAGAGGGTGGGGGGGGATGGGTTAGCCTGGTGATGGGTATTAAAGAGGGCACATTCTGCGTGGAGCACTGGGTGTTATGCACAAACAATGAATCATGGAACACTACATCAAAAACTAATGATGTAATGTATGGTGATTAACATAACAATAAAAAATAAAAAAAAATGAAGTCTGGAATTTAATTGCCTGAGGTCGAATTCTGACCTCACTACTTTTAGTTGTTTGACTTTTACTCACTCTAGTTTTGTTATCTGTAAAATGGGATAATAGCAATATCTATTTCATGATTATCTTGTGAGGATTTTAAAAATTAATGGAAGATTCAGGGCACCTGGGTGGCTCAGTTGGTTAAGCGTCTGCCTTCGGTTCAGGTCATGATCCCAGGGTCCTAGGATCGAGCCCTACATCGGGCTCCCTGCTCAGCAGGGGAGTCTACTTCTCCCTCTCCCTCTGTGTTTCTCTCTCTCTCTCATAAATAAATAAATCTTTGAAAATATTAATGGAAGCTGCTTAAGACAGGACCTCAGGATACTCGGTACATTTGAGCCACTACTACTGTTATCCCTACTACTACCATTACGACTTTCACTAATATTATACTACTAATAGGCTTGTTTTGAACCTGATTTACAGCATAAAGTGGCTCTACAGCTTATAAACTCTTCTGAGCACATATTTACTCAAAATGATTTTATGTGTTTTTGAACTTGTATTAATGAGAAGTTTCAGTTTCAGGAAGTATAAAAGTGAACCACCTGTAAGATTTCTTAAGAAATGATAGAGGAATATTAGACAAGAGGTCAAATAGACTAGGAGAGCAAAGGGAATCTCTTCTTGTAGTGCAGATAGAGAACTTTGAAAGAAACAAAAAATTGGAAATGAGAAGAGTAAATGAAACACCCCAGGCCTGATTAAATAGATGTCTTGGTTGTGAATAATTGACAAACAGACATAAAATTGAAAGAGCATAGCATAGGAGCCATGGGTTACCATCATGAGCAATGCACAGCGAGATTTGGGCACTTGAGTTAAATAAATTGAAATAATTAATGCACTAAATGCTGATAGGAATATTTTATGTACTCTTTTTTTTTGTTATTGCCTAAATGTAACACTGACAGAAAGGGAAAACATGAGTAGCACAAAACTAATGATAAAATATACATCTAATATAACTTCAAAATGGCTTCACTACAGTGGGAGCCAGAGGTTAAAATGTCATCACTCTGGGCGCAAACTACTATATGTGGCTGTCTGAAAAGTTCATTTGTTGGCCTCGTTGAACATAGGCGCCTGGGTGGTTCAGTCGGTTAAGCATCTGACTCTTGATTTCGTCTCAGGTCATGGTCTCGGAGTCCTGAGATTAGGTTCCCTGCTCAGCAGGGAGTCTGCTTCTCTGCCCTTCCCCCTGCCCTCTACTCAGGCATGTGTGCATGTGTGCTCTCTCTCTCTCTCTCAAACGAATTAAAAAAAAAAAATGTATCTGCAAATTAGCCAGCTAATTGATTTTACAACAAAATATGTTAAGGTTTTATTAAAAGCTATTAATATGTTAGAATAGCAAATGTTATTTTGTATACAGCTAGTTTAAAAAACAAAACTCCATGTTCTTACACAGCATTGTTGTTTTTTTTTTAAGATTTTATTTATTTATTTGAGAGAGAGAGAGAAACAGCATGAGAGGGGAGAAGGTCAGAGGGAGAAGCAGGCTCCCCGCTGAGCCGGGAGCCCAATGTGGGACTTGATCCCAGGACTCCGGGATCATGACCTGAGCCAAAGGCAGTCGCTTAACCAACTGAGCCACCCAGACTCCCCTTACACAGCATTGTTTATCATGCTTCCCTTCTATTCCATTTTATTGAACCAAGACTATAAATATATATATATTTTTAACTCAGTCCCATTTTATTGGGCACTTAGGTTGCTTTCAAAGGGATTCCCATTCTTACAGGTGAAACCTGACCTGTATCCATTCCTCAGGATTAATTGGAAGCCTAAACATGGTAGTGTACTTAGAATTAGTATACGCATTTTTACACATTATTTCATATAGTTCTCAGTAATGGGAAGTAAAAGAAAAAAAGTTTTAGCCAAAATTCATCTGAACCCCAAATTTGGTTTGGGTCACTATATCTTTATATATTGTTAATATTTTTTCCTTGATGTCATCTAAAATTATGCATAGATTTTAGGAAGTGATTCTTCAACGTCCTGCTGGGTGACGAGTACATTCTGATAGAGCCTTAGTGCCCTCTCTACCATTTGTTCCTTCATGTGCATTGTGAGAGAAACTCCCCGTGAAGGAAGGGAAATTGTTATTAAATAATAAACACAGATTGTGCTCAGGGTACCAGTAAAAAAAATGTGACATTTGTTCCATGTATTGCTCAAGTAGCTTCTGATACCTTTTCATTCCTGTTATAGATTAGCTTGGACAATAGAACACACTTTTCCTTGTCTTTTCCACATATTCATTGTTTCCTCTCGAGAGATCATGATTTTGAAAAATGTTAAAATTGTGTTAAAATGGGTTTAATGTTTAAGAGTCTCTATTTGCTCCTCTTTTTCTGAATACACTGATTATTTTGTAGTGTAGAGGTCAAGGGCTCTAATTTTATACAAAACTCTATTAAAAGTGGTTTGTTCATGTGAGCATTTCCTCATGATTTCATTTTTTTAAATATGAAATTTCCTTTAGTTTTGCATTTGAAAATCTAAAGCTTTAAAAGAAGTGAAATTTATCTTTAGTAGAATTTTACTTTATTATTGTAAGGTTTTGCACAAATGTTTTGTTCCTAGAATGTTTTACCTTTTATATATTATAATTTTGTCCTTTCAAGGCATTTAATATACTTTCTTTCAGTCTCTGTAGAAACGCTGGAAAAGAATTTGAAGCAGATGGGAAGGCAGCTTCAACAGCTTGAGAAAGATTTGGAAACCTTTCCCCCTCCTGAGGACTTGCATGATAAGTTTGTGACAAAGATGTCCATATCCTTCTGATATCTAAATAACTTAAGTCACTAGTCAACTAGAGTTAGAATTTATTTAATGTTGTAGGTTTATTTGCATAACCAGTGGTTATTCTATAGTGCCAAATAGCAGTTTAACTTTCGCCTTCTTGTGGGGAAGTTTATCAGTGTGTTTACCTATCATGAATAATACAGAAATGTATTCTGCTTTCAATTCTTTTTTTTTTTAAATATCAATTTGGATATTTTCTCTCATCTTTTCCCTTCCATTTGCCCTGTTTCCTTCTGATGTTCATGGTAAATTGAAAGGATGTGAAAACTCAGTTTGAGGAAGTTTGAATCATGATGTGTTTTAGATACTTTTGAAATGTTTCAGGAGGGAAACAAAGATTTTATAGACTGGTGTGACTAGTCAGCTTAATTTCAAGGGTTGGTATAAAAAATTGTGTTCCAGAAACTTTAATATTTCCTTTAGAAATACTGCCTGATTCCAAAATCAAAATGGAATTTGTCATGATCACTACTTGTATAGGTCTTCTCCAAACCCAAAATAAGATCTGTGTGTGTGTGTGTGTGTGTGTGTGTGTGTGTGTGTGTGTGTGTGTGTGTAAATAAGACTGTGTCCTGCTTAATTTAGGTTTCTTTTGAATTCGATTATCTTTTGTTTCACTGACTTTGTGGTTTAGTCTCTAATGAGTAATTGAAGTAATAAACTTTTTTTTTAATTTCCTGAAATGAATGTTGAGTTGCTTTGCAAACCATTGTGTGAGATTAGAGACTGATATCTTTTGTGTTATAATAAAGTATTACTACTATGCATTATTAAAATCCCATATGGACCTCAATTTTATATGAAAGGATAACCCACTTCCAATGAGCTCTTATAAATAGACACTCCTAATATTTTAAACTGAGATACTTGAAATAAAATAACTACTTTTCCTCTTTCCATATCTGCTCCCCTGAGATTTAGCAAATCACAAAATTATTATTTGGTTTGTCATAGAGTTTATTGTATATGCTTTCAGCTTAATTGTGAATTAGTTCAATTTTTAACTTTCTTCATTGTCTCTTTTGGGATATATCATAAAAATGCACTCCAGCAACAATCAATTCAGGCTAATGTGTTTGTTTCCTTTCATATCTTCCCTACCCATTCAGTTTCTTCTTTTATTAGGTAGGGCACCATTATCACTACATTTGAGAAGGTTTTTTTTTTTTTATGTGAAATCTGTATTTACCCATCAAAAGAATACTTTCGCAGCACCTTCTCATTTGGCAAAGTATGCTTTTTAAAACTAAATTTGTTATTGCAGAGTTATATTAGCTTCATCATCCTTAGCTTTTTTCCCCCCTCAATCATTTTATCATGTTAAAATATTCATATGTGACAGTTTATTTTAATCATTAAGCACTGTTAATTGAAGTACTTCCATTGTTCCCTATAGAGAGAACGCATTTTAGAAAAGGGTTCGCTTGCATACAGTTTCTGGTAATACACTGTGAGCTTACTAATTAGGAGGCTCAGGTTTCTGGAACCTATAACCCAAGATAAATTCCTGAGCTTGGCATGAAGGTGGTAGAATCCTGCTCAGCAGACGATTCCAGGACCTATCCATACTTGTATTCATATGACACAAGAAGCTGAATGATGTCGGCTTCTTGAAAGGTATGCAGCTCATAAAAAGCAACCAGCAGGAAATCAGAAACAGGAAGGATGATGCTTTGTTGGAAACAATTTTTCATTCTGAGTACAATTATACTCCATGGACAAGAAAGCTACTACATCCTGTCGCTAAATATCACAACCTAGAAGCCTCTAATGAACTGATTAGCATTCATGTATCTCTTGGAAGTCAGATATATGAACAGTTGGTGCACTTTGCTATTGACACAGCTTATAATCATAAATATTCTTTGCTGAGATTAGATTGCACTCGTTTGCTTTTCATCTTGGTTAGACATACTAGTTTCAAAGTAATTAAATTCATTCATTGCAGAGCTTTGTTTACTTTAATTAGGACTGACAACAAGTCACATTTTGAATAATAAATGGATTTATATAGATCTTATTAAAATGGTAAATTGTGAGCTTCTTATCAGATCTTAGAAAATGAAAGAATTCGGAAACTAAAATGCACAATGAATAAAAATGTATTTAACTAAAGTTTGGGTTATTAACGCTCAAACTTTATGTTTTAAGTTTTAGTGCTTATTAGTTGAAACACATGTCAAATTGTTTGGTTCATCAACCAATTCTGAAAGAACATGTGTGTATTATCTAACTTTAGGGATATATTTTTACAAGTAGATATTTAAACAATTATGACTTAGTAACTTAAATAATCTGTTAATTGAATTGTTTTAAATTATAATGATAGAATTTTGTTATATGAACTTTCACTATTAGCATTCAATTATAGTATATTGTAATTCTTCCAGTGCATGCTTTTTATTCACATAGACTACTGAGTATAAAAATATGAATTTAGTACATCCTTTAAAATGCATGTACAATTATTTCATATATTCACATTGACTTTTTAGTAGTAATTATGTTACTTTCCAATTGCTACGCCTGGGTCAGAAATATAATTGGAGTTGACTATTTCCACTGTAAATATTTGCTTGAAAAATGTGGGACACGAATTTGAGGCAGGTCCATCAACATAGTTGCATGCAAACTATTACATGTGAAGTATCCACATTTAGCTCTTATATGTGAGAAAATTAGGAAAATGCCAGGATTTGTGTCATGTAGTGCCTGTTCATTTCTTTTGAACTTTAGATTCTAGAATACTAGAATTTTAAGGAAAATAACAGATTCTAGAGCATTGCCCTTGAAGTTCTTCTTGCCCAGGATTTACCTTTTCTTCTCTTCCTACGCCATCTCCTGAGTTTCTTAGAAAAAAATCATTTTGCCAGACATTTATATATTTTCATATTCGTCACAACTTATGTTATAATCACTTGGCTTTTTCCCATGTTATAGTCTTTAAATTTCTTCACTGCAGTCCTACTTTATTTTACATACTTTTTTTTTCTTGCTCTCGTATGTAGCAATGTGTTAGGCACTTTTGAAATTATTATGTAGATGCTAAAACTATTCCAATAAATTCCTTGAAAGACTTAGGTCTTATATCTGTATTCCACACTGTGTAAAACACAGCATCTTTTGGATAAAGGAATTCAGTACATTTCTATTTAATTAAACAGTGGTTAGAAAGTAAAATCGAGGAACTGGACCTGTGAAACGTAATATGTATAATATGTGTCCATTTGCAAGAGTGGGAGTTTGGGTAATTGGGTGATTTGTAGTAGCAGATTTTTCTCTCGAATTTCCCCCTTCCTCCCTCCCTCCCTCTTTTCCTTCCTTCCTTCCTTCCTTCCTTCCTCGTCTTCCATTTACATTCTTAACAAAGTTTTAAAACTTGGATTAAAATATCCTTCTCCTCATCCAAATTGGTAATGAACTTTTCCTTCCCTGAGGTCTCACTGTGCTACAGCTACAGCACTTGGGGTGCTCACGGCTCTTTTATAGTTACAGTCTAGTTTTTCCAGGCAATGTCACTCACCTTAGCCACAACTTCCCCAACAACCCAACGTAAACTAGCCTCTCTGAGTCTGTATAATATCACACACTTTTATTTTCAGCATCATACTTATCACTCTCTCTCATGCATTTACTTCTTTTCTCTGTGCCACTCTCCAGAATGTATGTTTCATAAAAGCAGGGATTCTGCCTACCTCGTTAATTAGTGTTTTCCCTATTGCCCAGAAGAGTGGAATGCAGTGGAGCTTAGTGAATACTTACTGAATGGCTGGCTGGCTGCCTGGCTAGCTGGATCCTGAGTACTTAAGAAGATCTATAAAATGTATTAGACATAGAGGACGGATTGAAGCTGGTCCTTATAAGCTGTGTTAATGGAAGTACTAGATATCCTTGTTGGGGGAAGCACAATAATCAGGGCAGGACATGAGACTGAATGTGAAATGTATTTGTGCTGGGTGGTTTCACCATCTCTTAATGAGAGAATAGCCCATCAGTAATGATGTAGAGTGCTTCATTAATGTAACCATTTATTCTGTCCTATCAGACAATCATTTTAAACTGAAAATTAATTTGACTATTTCCAAAATTGTTTCTGTTCAATCACAATTTTACCATTCTTGCGGGTAATTCCAGTTATTCAAAGCTCCACTCATTCCTTTGGGAGCAAATTGTTTCATAGATAACAATGATAAGAAAATGAACTTAGAAAGCTTTCTAGCTATTAAAACAAGACCATGTCATTTCCATGGTTTTGGCTCTTGGATTTCTTTCCTATCATATCTTTTTAGTTTATATAGAATTGTAGTGTTTTTATTAAGAATGTTCAGGTGGGCGCCTGGGTGGCTCAGTCAGTTAAGCAACTGACTCTTGATTTTGGCTCAGGTCATGATCTGATCTCTTGTGAGACTGAGTCCTGTGTTGGGCTCTGTGCTTGGTGTGGAGCCTGCTTAAGATTCTCTTTCTTGGGGCACCTGGGTGGAGTAGTCAGTTAAGCACCTAATTCTTGCTTTCAGCTCAGGTCTGCTCTCAGGGTCATGAGATGGAGCCACACGTCAGACACCACACCCAGTGGGGAGTCTGCTCGAGTTTCCCTGTCCCTCTCCCTCTGCCCCTGCACACCCCCTCCTCAAATAAATAAGTAAATCTTCCAAAAAAAAAAAAAAACCTCCCTCCCTCCCTCATCCCCCCCGCCCATGCACTTTCCTCTCTTGCTGTCTCCAAAAAAAAAAAAAAAAGTGCTCAGGTATATTTCTAATATTTTATTAACTTGTGATTACTACCTGAAAATCTTAAGTGTTATTGGATAATACTTACAGTTTTATTTTAACCTGTTGACCAAATTGATTTTTTTTTTTTAGTATTTTATTTGAGAAAGAGCGTGCACAAGCGGGGGGTGGTAGTGGGGGGAGAAGCAGCAATGGGAGGGGGAGAAGCAAGCAACCCGCTGAGCAGGGAGCCTGATGTGGGGCTCGATCCCAGGACCCTGGGATCATGATCTGAGCTGAAGGCAAAGTTGCTTAACCAACTGAGCCACTCAGGCGCCCCAACCAAACTGATTCTTGAGAATGGGCATATTCCCAGGTATTAGGATAAAATTGCTAATATTTGTGAAGTACCTATTATTAAAATGCAAAGCCTTACCATGCAGTGAGGGGGAAGAAAAGGAGTAGCTTTAGGACCGTACAATTAGAAACACCCCCTAAAGTAGTATACTTAGTGTGTTGTCCAGCACAACTACTTTTCAGGGACTCTATTAGCCCTTAATGTTACATCCAAATTGTATGTGTGTGAATGCATAGATGTGAAATTTTTTGAATGGAAGTTCCATGGCTTTCATCGCACTTTTGAGGAGGCCTGTTACCCTTGCCACCAAAGTTTAAGAATGATGGCACACTAGGGGAAAATGAATAATTGGTGCCAATGTAGTGGCAGGCAAGTAGACTTAATGCAGCCAAGCAGATGGAACAGGGCATCTACAGAAGGGGCTGACCATCAGAGGTGACCATCCTCTAGAAATGTGGCAGGAGCAAAGCACGAGTAGGGAATTGGACTAGAAGGAAAAACTCTGTTCCAGCAGAATACAATGGATTACAAATGCTGTGTGTTCAGTGGAACGAACTTATAGCCGTAGAGATGAGAGAAGAAGGCTTTGTGGAAGAGGAAGAATTGAAGGAAACTTTGAATGATAGGTTTGGACAAGCAAAGGCAGAAAATAGTTTCTCTTTTAGACAAGAGTTGAGGATATATAAATAATCCATATGGATATAGTCTGTATCTGGGACATAAATAATTTTAGGTGAGAGTTATAGATTGAATAAATAAGCCAGTGTTGATTTCTGACCTTACTATATAAATGAAGGAATGATTATTTCACATTACAAATGAATCACCATATGGTCCATTTAATGTTAGTTCCTGAATGTGTTTCAAATGTGGTTTTTTAATTTACATAAATTCACTTTATACTATTTCATGAATATGGATATTTCCTTAGACAAAGTGATTGGAAATCTGTCCCGTGTGACTGTATTGTTACAATTTCTTGTGATTTTGTGATTTGAGTAATTATACAAAATCTTTTGTTATTTATCTAAGCATTAAGAAATGATACCACACACAAATTCATCAACCACTCATCAACCACTGCTACTATTCTGATCTAGACATAGAAAATATAAGGGAGCATTTTGCTCTTCAGATGAATATAATAGCCACAGAAAGATCTATAGATTTTCTTAAGGTTGTTAAAAAATACCAACTCTTGCATTAGAATCCAGACTTCCTATGTTCTAGTTTGTTCTTTCTTTCCTAAAATACTATATATAAAAGTAAGAAGAGCATTGTATGGCAGGGAAAGGGAGAAAAAGGAACTAGCATAGAAGGGTAGTAGGTGATCTGTGGTCTCACCCTAGACATGGGTACAAGTGAGCTTGATTGACTGGGATGCCTTTCCTTTTGGGGAGCTTGGGTTCCAATTGGTAGAAATTTTCCATGCCCCTTGGATTTCACCGCCCATCTGGCAGCAGGGCTGCCTCTTTCTCTCTCAAAATAAAGGGCCCAGATCAGTTTCCTTATTTTATCTTCCACTGGAGGATACTCTGATCAGAGGAATCGTATCTTTTGAAATCTTTCCTTTAGGTTATAAACATTCCATGTTTGGTTTTCTTTTCTTGGTCTGAATCTAGTTATTCTTATTACTGACTTTTTAAAAAATTATGCTAATATCTTTATTTTCTTACATTAGAGGCAGTAAGATGGCTTTGATAACCTTAATTCTATGTGTTCCGTTTCTTTAAAAGTCCCAGTTTAAAGGAGCCATAGAGGATTGTGAATCATACTCTTAGCAGTCATCTTTTTAGAATGACGTATGGTATATGTAACCGCGTTAGTGATTTGTCACACTACAAAGGAAATGCTATGGTTTGTTTAAAAAATGTTTTCTAATGCCATCTAATGCCATCACTGCATTCTCACTGTTAGTCTTCTGAAAATCAGTGTGCTTTGAATTGTGTTGTCATAATAAATGGGAAAAGAACATTTCTGTATGTGCAGGTGTATGTGCCAGATCATAATTGAAAACATGCAATGCATAGAATATATGTACCAATTTTCCAAAGGAGAGTTAAAACATGAAGTTACATAATATTTGAAGTTTCTGATGTAACTCTTAAAATATTTTTGGATTGATCTTAGAAACTTAAAGCTTAAAATGAGTAAGTGGTCAATAAAAATACTAAGTGATTACATTTACTACTAAGTGCTATTCATTTCTCTAAGAACTTTGCATTATTAACTCATTTAGCCCTCACCACAGCCCTGTAAAATGGGTGGTATTCTCATTCCCCAGTTTACAGTTGAGGAAATTGTAGCACGGAGAGAATAAGGCACTTGCCCATAGCCATCTACATCCAGGTGTAGGAGCCTGATATTGACCCCAGTTGTCCAACTTAACCTGTATGTTCAGTGCCCATGTAGTTGATTTCAGTATCATCGAAATTACTCAGTTTCAGCTACTGAGCTATAATTTAAATCATATGCATGATCTGAATAACATAGATACACAAATTGGAAGTAGAATTTCCTTAAACTCAATTGTAAAAGAAAAATATTAAATAAATATTTCTTTTCTGGTAACTGTGACAGAGTTAAGAGATTGAATTTAAGATTTCACCACTGTACAGGATAGATTGAGTTACAAGAACAGTGAGCTGTTAGAGGTAGTTTTGGCATTTTGGACTCACGGGTTTGTTTATTTTTTCTAAAACATTGTAAGTTTCTGGATCCCTTAACTATAACATACAGCTTTGTTATCAGTGCAAAAGAACAATATGAGAAACTTTTTAAGTTACATGAAAATATGGAGAAGTCATACCAGAGTATGTTGGGATACTACGCCATTGATGTGAAGAAGATGTCTGTGGAAGACTTTTTAAATGACTTGAATAACTTCAGAACCACATTCATGGTATGTTAAAAATTTTAATTTGTTTTTTGAAAAGGTGTCTGTGTCAGTACTATCGCGTCGATTATTACTTTAGTCTCATTACTTTATTACACTCCTGTTGTCTGTAGTAAAATAAAATCTACCTTCCCTGATGTTGAAAGTTAGCTTTAAAAATTTTAGATTTTAACACTATTGAGAAATATGCGGTTTGTTCTCTTTTTGGCCTTCCCAACATTAAGCTGTAATCGGAAATTTTGATTGAAAATGTGACAAATTCTGAAGTTTTTCATAAAGACTCCCCTCCTGGCCAATTATGGAACACTTTTGTAATATGTTTTTGGCTATGAATTTGTTTCTTTATACTTAAGCTCAGTTTGTATTTTTGTGGTATAATTTTACCAAATTCCATGAAGCTTTTATGAAGCCTTTCCCCCCCTTTTCTTTTCTTAATGCATTGTACAATAAGCTACCTGTGATTTGCCTTTGAATGGATTTTACATTCCTAGGGTTTCCTTTAGATACTTTAATAGGGAGGTCAGGTCTTTGATGTGGAATCCTTTCATTTAGGCATTAAAAAGATCTTTTGAAAAGTATTAGCTGATTAGATGAGAAAAAAAAACCACACACACATTAAAGTGAGAAAGCATTGTTGCCTCCCTGGGGAAACTGGTGATACATTTCTGCAACAAAAAATTATGTTATTCTTAATAGATGGGTAAGTCATTTCTCTATTTTAGCAAATGTTTGTGGGGATTAAAAAGTTTTGAAGGGTAAAGAAAAAAGCTTGAATTTTAAAGAAGTGGTTCTTTTTACTCTCAGGAAAAATTTATTGCTGAATTTATTGGACTTGGTTATAATCACTTGGTTATGAGATAGTCCTTTAATAAAAATTCAGTACTTTAAACTATTCTACAATAAATACACACATTTGCTCATAGCTTTAGTTTTTTCCCTTCACAGATTCAAAATGATTCTTTAGTTGTTCACTACCAGAAGTGGAAGAAGTGGATTTGATTGATAAATATATGCCTATATGTGTGATATATTATACAGTATATTTAACTTTTGTATCTTACAAGGCAACATGGCTTAGTGGAAGTAGCATAGGTTTTTGAGTCTGGGAGAGCTAGGTTTAGACTCCACACTAGTTATGTGACTGTGAACTGATGTAACCTTCCTGAGCCTCAGTTTCCATATATATAAATAGAAGTATTAATTCCTTTCTCATAAGAGTGTTTATTAAACCAGCTAATATATATTAAGTATTTATCACAGCTCCTTGCACATGGTAGTTTTTTAATAAATTAGTGTGCAGTGAAGGATTAACTTAGTAGTCTTGAGGTATTTCAACCCTGCATATTTCAAAGAAAATACTAGCCCTCCACTGGCTCCTGAGAGATCACCTGTAAGCCCGTGGAATACCCTGTCTCATAAGGATGTTTTTGTATGCCTGGGGCCTTGGACCAAACTATAGATAGGTGTTGCTTGAAATGTGATTTATGGTGAGTACCTGTTCTTGTTCACCTGAAGCCCTGGAGTGCACTGTTCAGTTTCTTCTCTATAGGAGGCTAGGGCCTGAGTAGCTAAGGTTGTCCATGTGGAAGGTCCATGCCTATGTGACTGACCTTCCCAATAAAAACTCTTGACACCAAGGCATGGGAGAGTTCCCTTGGTTGGCAGTACTTCATATGTGTTGTCACGCATCATTGCTAGAATAATGGAATTCCTCTGGGAGAAGTTCATGGTGATTTTAATCTGTGCCCTTTCACGGTAATAAACTGTAACCATGAGTACAAGAGCTTTTCTGGGTTCTGAGTCCTTCCATCAAATTATCAAACCAGTGGGTGGTCTTGGGGACCCCCGACACAATTATGCATAAAAATATAAAATAGATATATGAACTAATAACACCTATCATAATGAGTGTTCCGTGAACCAGATATTCTTCCAAATGCTTTATGTATGTTATTTCAGTCAATCTTCATAATAGTTTTCCAACTAGCACTGTTACCATCCCTCTGTGGCACAAAGATGGAACGTATCTGGCTTAAGAACGTATCTGGCTTAATGTCATTTAGCTATAAAATGGTAGAACTAGGATTTGAACCCATACAGTCTTCCTCCAAGAGCCTGTACAATTAAATGCTATATAGTGCTCCTTCTCACGTTTTATAACTTGTGTTCTATTTTACAAATAAGAACACTGGCATAGGAAGGGTTTTCTAATGAAACCAAGGCTGTACTTTTTTTTAAGCATTTAGATTGACATTTGAATCAAGTCTAATTCCCAATTTTCCTAAGATCTGGTAGGATTGGAGGGCTTTGGACATTCTGGGGGTAACTTGGTCATTGTGTTACTAAGTGGTGGGCAGAGGGAGAAAGTGTTTGAATGGAGAAGCATTCAAAAGAGGGGGGTAATAGAGTGACAGCTACACTTTGTCTATTTCAGAGTTCACATGGGTCCTAGAAGTAGAAGCTGTCACACACGCATATGCACATTGTACTGAATTAACCTTATTAGAGCTAAATATAAAAAATTATTTAAATAATTTGGAGAGGAAATTTTCTTTTGGGTAAAAATAGACACAAGACTGTAAGGGAAGTGGTTATATCAAGGTAGTGAAATTTGGCACACAAATTTTATTCTTTCTTCCTTTCTGGTAAATATGGTTATGCTGCTTGAATTTTAGACAGTGTATGTTTAAAAAAGATGACAGTGTCAATATTGGCAAACATTTTTGACAAATGTTTTGTTTTCTCAAATTCTCCTGATCTCTTATGTTGCTATTTAATTCCACACTATTCAACTTTGAAAATCCAGTTAACCTCACTGAATCAGTTTGAAAATTTTAGCAACAGATGTAGAACTTTAATGTGTTGAAAGTCTGTTCTGGAAAGGCATATCAATACAATCTCTTTTTGAGAAAATACTGGTAAGATATGTTTATATTGTTACTTCATCCACTGGTATTTAGGAATACTCCTGGTCATGAATGAGCAAATTTTACCATTAAAGTGGAGGTCCACTTTGTATTACATACATGGAGTTGGAACCACTGTCCTCATTCCATACCTCCCCCCCCCCAAAAAAAAACTATGGCAGTTTTCCATGGAATGTTTTCTCCCAAGTTCAGATCATTCTGCTCATGGTTCCCTATACCTGGAGCATTCTGTCCGTATTTTGCCCAGCAAAATTACTATACTCATCCTTCTGCTCTCTGCTGAGACTTCACTTCATCTGTTTAGACCTGTGACTATCTTACTTACCTTTGTTTCTCTAGTGTAATTCATGGCATTTATCTATTACTCAACAAACAGATAAATTTGTTGAGTAATAGATAATCTCATCTACAATGGGGGCCAGGATTTAATAGCTAATACATATAGTGCTAGCAAGTGCCAGGTACCCCATTCATTCATTTAACCCTAACAGTAACCAGATGTGGTATCCATACGGTTGTTGTTCTGATTTTACAGATGAGAAAACTGAGGCTTAGAGAGATTGTGACTTGCCAGCAATTGACGGAGCTGAGGGGCTAACCCAGAGGGTCTTGTACCAGTCTATGCCATATATGGCTGAACTCTATTAATTCCTATTAAATATAGCAATTACATTTAAATGGCTAACAGAGCTAATCTGAAACTTAATACCTCCCCAAAATAAAAATGTGGCCCCTTTTATTTTTAATAGTGATCGGTTTGTGAATAATTTACCCAAAAATATTTATATTTTAGAATTGCCCCAGAATTTATTCTTAAGCAATTAAAGTCTGGCTCATTTCTATTTGAAGCCCTTTACTATACCTTTTACCAACCCCTATAATGGGTACCAGAGTTACTAAGATTGTTTAACTACTTTGTTTAGATGTAGCTGTCCAGGTTCTTTTTTTTTTTTTCTTCTCCTTTCCTTTCTGAGAGCCCCTACCCAATAGCTAAAGGAATATCTGTTCTAGACTGCTGCCTCAAGCCGTGTAGACCAACGGAGAAAAGTGCCATAATCACATAACTTATTCTGAGGAGCACCTGCTCATTGTGCAGCTTACCTCACCTCTTTTCGCCTTGGAGATTCTCGAGTGGCAATTAATTTGTTGTTGTTTTAATGATCTACTCTAGGTAGATGGTTTCTATTTAGAACTACTGCTCAGTTTCCAAGAGATAGGGAGTAAGTTTCCATTGTCATCTTATTTAGCTTTATTTTTATTACCATCTTCAACAAGATGAATCCAGAAACAGCTGCCACCAATCGAGTGCCTTCTTCTTGCTAGACTCCACACTAGATGCTTTACGCGTGTCCTCCAACTTTGTCTTCCCATTGTTCTCCTGAGGGACAGAATGTCACCTGTGTGGTAACTGTGGGGTAGAGAATCTCAGTGCCTTTGCAGAAGGCTTCAGAATTGGTAGGGGCTAGTATTTGAATGGAAGCCTGCCTGACTCCAAAGCCTGTACTTTTGAAAATATTTCCAAGTAGACTGGTGCTCAGAGAGTTTGGGAGAATTGTTAAAATGTGATTTTTAAGGGCATTTTTGATAACTTACTAGAAGGAATCAGCACAAGACCTACTTTATTTCTTCATTCCTTGATAGAATAGCTTTCTGTCTACATTGATGTGTTCATGGTAGAAGAATGTGTGCTGGGCAGGTTCTATTTCAAAACATAAGATGTTCTCTTTTAAAATGAGAGGATTATTAACATACACCAAGGCTGGGGTGAGGATGGGTAAAGAGTCAGCACCTTTCTGTAATAGATTGTTTCCTGTAGGACTCATGGGAACCATGGAGTTCACATTAGAGATACTAGGTGGGAATATTTGACCCCACACTGTAGGCTCAGTACATCAGTGTCCTCCCAGGCATCAGGTTTCATCAAGTGAAGTTCATGCCTTCAGTTGTATAGTGTTGTAGAACAATAATCATCGTTTTCCACTCATGATTGGCTTTAGGCACATTGTTACATGCAATTACCAATGTACCCATTACTCACAGAGGTGATGCTTCTACAGGATGAATTGAGCCCATTATGGA